GTTTGCATGCTCTCCCCGTGCACCGTGGGTTCTCCAGGTTCCTCCCACACAGTCCAAAAACATGTCGAGGTTAATTGGTGATTCCAAATTGTCTGTAGAATGTGAGTGTGCTTGGTTGTCTGTCTCCAGCCCCCTGTGACCCCAGTGAGGATTGAGCGGTGTATAGATAACGGATGGATCACTTTTGTCAATTCCAACTTATTTCACTGACAGCTGTTTTTTCTTTTCCTTCGTTAATGGGAGGGTATGAATACATCTGAGGACGACTGTATTTCCTGGGAATGTCCCATCATGCTGCAGCGTCCGTGTGGCCGTGAGAAATTATCGAGTACGCCCACATCTGCTCCCTGATGCTGAAATTCACATCGCTCTGACCCTAACAGACCCTCACACGCTCACACATGCAGAAACCATCACACTAGCCACTGACTTCTAAGCCATCTGGGGGCATTTCTCTAAATTAGCTGCCAAGATTAGCGATTTTTTTTACTCCAGCGCGGAGACATCATGAGTCAATTTCAACCTCTCCCTTTAATGATCGCGGCCGATATTAACTCATGCTTTTCAGAGCGCTCGCTGCTCCTCGTGCGATTCGAACCACCTTCTTCAAATGATGCCCTTTTATTTTTAAGTGGAGCTTTCTCGGCGAGACCATCTTCTTTTCTCTCCTCCTGCGTTTTATCAGCTCAGCATGAAATTCAGCTTTTGTGTTACAACAAAGGAAGTCAAAAATGCTTCTTCTTTTTTTTTTTTTTTTGCCAATTTGAGGGAAACATAAGGAGAGAATTTAAAGCCATCAGCTGCTTTGGTTTCAACGACCGGCACATCCTGCTGTTGTTTTCTGAGCCGCATTTTTAGCTTATATTTATTAGTTTTTGCATTTATTTATTATTAGGTGTTCCTGTTTTTTTTTGTTTTAAATGTACAATTTCTGTGCAGATTTGTGGACTTGTGTTTGTTTATTTGCTTTGTCTCGGTAATTGTCTCTGTCTAGCGCACACCAACCTGTAATTTCACAGTTTAAATCCCCACCGGAACAATGAATCCCCTCCTCCACCTCCTGCTGAGTGTTAATGTTTAGCCTTGTTTGCATTTACATCAGAGTGGTACAGTTCAAGAGGCCTTAATCGCACAAGCTGTCATGCCTCAGAACTGATACGACGCAGCCGTGATTTTATTAGTCCCATCTCGCCGAGCGTGACATGCAGAGATCACTACATCATCACATTATGTTGCACCGATACAGACGTATCCTCCGTCTCCAGCTCCCTTCCGACTACGAGTTGGCTATCCGGCTCTCGCACACAGACCTACTTCCGCTCAGCTCCGGGTGATATAACGGCGCGTTGACATGTGACCGTGTGCCGAGCACGGGTCAGGATTGCACTCGGCGGGTCAGGGCTGCCACATCTGTCACTCGGCTCCTCCATGCTGGCGGATGGAGCCGGAGCAGAGTGATGGAGAGAAAGTTGAGAGAGAGGGGAGGAGTGGATGCATTTGTTCTAGTCGGCTCGCAGGCAGGTGTGAATCAGTGTGCATGAATATGAAAACAGCACGCAGCCGGCGGAAAGAAGGAAAAAAATAAAACAACAACAAAAAAAACCACCGATATAAATAAGTTTTCAAAGCCGAATTCTACTGACGACGAGTTCACATCCGTCAAACGTTTTAAAAAATGTCGAGTTGTAGCCGAGCGCGCGGACGACCGTTGATTGGGTTTTTGATCACAACGACAGCTGTTTCACACGCCGAGTTGTCATTAGGCCAGTCTCTGACAAGCATTATGACAGTTTAGCTGGTGATAAGCCCTCTCATCTGTGCGTGTCAAAGAGAGAAAACGTGTCTTTGTGTGCATGTGTCGACGTTACAGTGGCTTTAGCGAGGTCGTGTGAGGCTCCGCGGCTGATCATCCTCCTCCTGTCTGCTGCTTCCAGCGTTAGCTCGCGCCGTCCGCATCTGGCCGCCTTGAGGTCAGTTATCAGCCTGACATTTCCGTTAAATCCCATTCCAGGTCCAACGCCGCGGGATAGAAAAAGCCAGTAATCATTTTTACGGCTGGATCTGCTGCTGCTGGTGGTGGAGAGCGAGCAACTGATCCCACCCAGGGGTTGAGTCTAAACACACCCCGTATTAAAACCCCCCACACATCAAAACATACAGTACAGTCCCATTTATCATTCACTTAGAACATATGTTTTAGCCGAAGTGCTGCAGCGCCGGAGCCAACAGCCGTAGTGAAGGCCATCAATTGTACCCTGAACTGGTTGCCCCCGACCGATTTTTGAATTGGGACAATTTTCTGCCAGATGGGTCGTAGTTTGAGGGGAGGCCACAAGCCTGATTAAATCCTGAACTGATCAGGATCTCAGACAACCGGGTGGATATCTGCCATGCCCGAATTCTCGCTCTGCCGTCTTGCACTTCCACGCTCTGATTTCCTACAATTCAGCATAAAGTTAGCACAATGCGTTTGGCAAGTCCAGGAGCAAACATGGTGCAACCCGGAGAGCGCATTATGGGAACAGAGTCTTTCTGCACAAAGCACCACGGCTGAAAGGTTTTTTTTTTTTTTCTTGCTGTCAAGGATGTGGCCATGTCGCTGGAGTAGAACCTTATTGTAAGGAGAATTATTCTGCCCCCTGTGAGAGGCAGCCATGTGGCACTAGATGTCCGCTCTGCTAGGAGGACGTGGTTCAACGTGAACAATCAGAGTTCGTGGGATTAACAGCAGATTAACCACCGTACCTTCACGTCTAACATACATGGTTTGGTTTTAACGAACCCTCCCGTGTTTGTCCTGTTCTGCTTGCTTCAGACTAATGTGATGTGAGAGCTGTCACTCAGACTCTGGCGTGGACTCATTGTAGACGTTTGCGGTCCAAGCCTGTTGTGATACACTGATGGTGTGAAATTAGATGGACGACGGAGCTATACAACAACACAAATGTGTTTCTGTCATGAATTTAAAAACTCAAATTAACATTAAATTGTTGCAGTGGTTGTAAATAGGGCTGCAGGGTGGTGC